CTTTCTAACCTCACTCTATAATAACTGCCCTTACCGCCTTTCTTAAAATCCACCACCCCTCCCTAACGATTACTTCATGTCACACTTGCTCTTGGCTCTGGTGCAGCTCCCTTTTTCTCTCATCCTTTGATCTGTTATGAAACAAATACACAGTAATAAGTGACCGGAAAGCAAGGAGATAGAAAGTTAATGTTATAGTGTTGTCCATTTGGGTTAATATTTCATTCCTCTGTCCTCCAGGAACATTGAAGACCTGACAAGTCAGGTTAACAACTTGGAGATCAAAGTAAATGACAGTGAGATGGAGAATGAGGAGCTGCGAGAGCGACTTGGAATGGATCCAAAGGAGAAGCTGGACATTGAAGTTGTACGGCACAAAAAGAAAGTTAAAGCAGAACAGGCAGTGGCTCTGAACAGGGCATTAACTAAAGAGGTAATTCACTTTTGAGAGCTCGGGGAAAATTGTACATCACAAATGTGCATGTATTGAATGTGTTTTAGTGTTCTGTGTATTCTGGGAAGCTTTTCTGAAATGGTAATTGTTTGGTTTGAATGTTCATTTCCGTTTTTGTAGGTGGAAAGGTTAGAAGAAGAAAGGCTTCAGCTTAAACGGCAGCTCAGAAAACAAGCCCTGCATCGAGGTCAAAGGTAAATGTGGGCTGTTTTTCTATTTTCTTGCTAAATTGTCAATTCATGGAACTGAGAGAGGCTTTTCTGTTGCCCTCGACCTTCCAAACCAAGTTTAGTACAAAGTGCGACAGCTTGCTTTATAGCAAATTGCGATGGGCTTTTATTACAACCTGCGACAGCTTTTTTGTTACAAAGTGCGATAAGTGTCATGACAAAGTGCGACAAGTGTTATGACAAAGTGCGACAAGTGTTATTACAAAGTACGACAAGTGCCACAACAAAGTGCGACACGTGTCATGACAATGTGCGACAAGTGTTATTACAAAGTGCGACAAGTGCCATGACAAAGTGCGACGAGTGTTATTACAAAGTGCGACAAGTGTCATGACAAAGTGTGACAAGTGTTATTACAAAGTAAAAGTGTCATGACAAAGTGCGACAAGGTTTATTACAAAGTGCGACAAGTGTCATGACAAAGTGCGACAAGTGTTATTACAAAGTGCGACAAGTGCCATGACAAAGTGCGACAAATGTTATTACAAAGTGCGACAAGGGTCCTGACAAAGTGCGACAAGTGTTATTACAAAGTGCGACAAGTGTTATTACAAAGTGCGACGAGTGTTATTACAAAGTGCGACAAGTGTCATGATAAAGTGCAACAAGTGTTATTACAAAGTGCAACAAGTGTTATTACAAAGTGCGACAAGTGTTATTACAAAGTGCGACAAGTGTTACTACAAAGTGCGACAGGTATTACAGAGCGTGATAATTTTATAACAAAGTGCGACAGGTATTTCAAAGAGCGAAGATGATTATAAAGTGTGACAGAAACTGTAGAACATCCACCGACGTAGAACGTTTCAAATTAATGATTCATGGGAGTATGACTCTAAGTCACGCACAAATGAGCGACACATAGATTTAGTTACCGGTGACATTTCGGTGTAGTTTGTACATCATGTCTTTCCCCCTGGACAGGGCTGTGGAGTTAGGAATCACTGCTGAAGACTTAATCGTGGCAGAAGAGGAGGACGTAGTCTCTTCACCCAGAAGACTTCCTGTGGTGGATTCCGATGGTGAGGTCACCAAGGCTTTGGTAAGTACTAGGAACATACAGTAACATGTTAAGTATACAGACATTCCCAGGGGTTTCGGTAACCTTTTTCCATGCAGTAGCATGTTAAGAAGTAACTTTTTCCATGCAGTAACATGTTAAGTATACAGACATTCCCAGGGGTTTCAGTAGCCTTTTTCCATGCAGTAACATGTTAAGTATAAAGATGTTCCCAGGGGTTTCAGTAACCTTTTTCCATACTCTAACATGTTAAGTATAAAGATGTTCCCAGGGGTTTTAGTTAACTTTTTGCGTACTGTAACCTGTTAAGTATAAAGATATCCAAGGGGTTTCAGTAGCCTTTTTCCATTCAGTAACATGTTAAGTATAAAGATGTTCCCAGGGGTTACAGTAACCTTTTTCCATACAGTAACATGTTAAGTATAAAGATGTTCCCAGGGGTTTCAGTAGCCTTTTTCCATACAGTAACATGTTAAATATAAAGATGTTCCCAGGGGTTTCAGTAACCTTTTCCCATAAGAGGCTGGTAATGGTGTAATGGACGGCTGTGCCGTAAGGCGAACCCCGCAAATATGAGAGCCTGCTCGTAAGGTAAACAAGCGGTGGTGAGAGATCTCTCGTTGGAAAGCCGGAAACCGGCCTATCTTGAAACCTCTATGTTCCTGTAGTATAAGGGTCAGGTCACTTTGTTTTACTCTTCATAACATTTGAGCTGTGCTCCTTGCCCTTTCATACAGTCGCAGAAAGTTTAACAGCACTTGCCTCTTCATAGAAAGACTTTTGAAATGCTCCTTGAAGAAAAGCCCTCAGTGCAGAAAACTGAATCCTGACCCATTCTCCTGCGGCCGATTTCGTAAAAAGCCCCTATTAGTACCTTTACTTACAGCTGAGATTTTTAAAGTCGAAAGAGATTAATACGCACTTTTCTTTTTAGTTTAGTCTGGTATAACTACTTGTCTACATGATGTTTTTAATTGCATTGTAAATGACTTGTTTATTTGATAGTTTGTTTGTTTTTTTTTTTGTTTTTTTTTTCCAGAACCAGAGGCTGGAAGGAGAAGTAGAAAAGAATGAAAAACAAATTGAAAAGTACAAATCTGATATGAAAAAGATCGAGACTGAAAATAAGGTATAGGGAATTTAGTGGCACATCCACCAAATGATGATGACAATTTTTCTTTGGTAGATTTGATTGACAGAATCGCTGGGAAACTCCTCTTCTCTCTCTTTCCACTATTACTGCTCTAACAGGTTTAGGGAGAAGTTACACGTCAATCACGTGGGGGAGTTAGAGGATTAATCTTACCTTCTTTAGTTATTCTACTTTATTTCAGGTGATTAATGGCGTTTTAGTGGTAGTCAAACTAACAAACTACTTGTATTTCCAGTTCCCCTGCAATTTGATATTCAGTATCACACGATCCGAAGACAAAGCTAAATATAGTGACATGTAGTTCCTGCAAGGCTTAGGCTGGAGATTAAATGAACGGGTAAACTGAACAACACTTTAAAAGTCCCTCATTGCGTCTTTTAACTCCTGTGCGTAGGAACTCAAAGATGAAAACAAGCAGTTAGAAGTTGGAATGCGGGAGATTTTAGCCCAACTGAGGGAGCATGCGGCAGCACAAGGTTTGTTTTGTGCGTTCGCGATATATTCTAATGAACTGTAAATGAAAACTTTGTTTTGTTACCTCCTTAAAACCATTTATTAGAGAAGAATTTCTCCGTCTCTCTATTGTTTGGAAGGTTATCCCTCCCTCCCCATTTAAAATGCGTCGTAATAGGAGATTGATTTTTAATGATTTATCATTTATTACTATCATTACTTTTGATTTTTTTCTTGTTTTAGGAGTAGAGGAAAATAAATTAGTACAAGTTCCAGCCTTAGAAAAGCTCATGGCTGTAAGTTACGCTTCCGTCATTCATTAATTGAATTTGTTTGATATGCAGTCCATTTTTTTTTTTGTTACCTTTCGGAAACTATTGTAAATCTTCATCCTAACTTTGTTTTTTTTTTTCCATAAAGATGATAGAGTCTAGAAATGCAGTGGGCCAGTATGACACAACACTACAATTAAAAGCTCAGGTAAGTTGCTTTTTCTGTTTGTCTTTACTGAACATGTGTGCAATGTCGATCAAGCTGTAAATTCTTCTTTTGACTTTAGATTGAACAGCTAAGTGGGAGGAACGAAGAACTGCGACACGAACTGCACAACGCTCGAGCAGAAACAGCTAAAGCCATCATGCAGTTAGAGAGGAAAAACACCAAGGTAGTAATCGGTGTTCTGAGAAATCTACTATGTTAAGATTTGAACAGCCATTGCCAAAAGTTCCGTAGATGCCCTCAAAACATCTTACATGAAGACTCCAACTCCTTTTTTTTTTGTTAAACATTTTTGTATGTTACGTGTGATTGGTTTAAGTTTCCCTCCTCACCCAAACAATTGGTTGGTTTTTAGTTTCCCTCCTCACTCAAACGAGGGTGATAGCGAATATACAAGATCAAAGGGTTTAAAGTGGACTTTGAAAGAGCGGGACCTGGGCATAAGAACACCATTTAGCTACAATGATGCTGAATTTGAGTATGCCTTTAATTGCCAATTTTTTGGTAAGATTTATTTATTCATTTATATTTTATTAAACTGGTGCTTTTTTTTGTTTTGTTTTGTTTTGTTTTTTTTTTTTTCATACCAATAGATCGAGGATCTTGAAAAAGACATTAAAGTGTTAAAAGAGATAGGTAAGCTCTTTGTTTCAAGAAAGCCTTAGGTGAAATGAAGGACAGATTATCTATTAACAAGGCATTTCTACAACCCATATGTTTACAATTTTAGGTGAGGGCGCTGTCAAGTTACAACCTATGCCTTTGCCGCAAGGAATGACACCCTCTTCAACGGAGATCATTGCCAGTCTTAATGAGCATCTTATACAAGTACTTCAGGTAACAAATATTGCTTTAAATGCTTTTGCTAACTGCTGGCATGGAATTTCGCTTATATTTATTTATGTGTTTATTATTTTTGCTTCTTTGCAAGGTGATAACAGTGTTTACTTGATTTGTTTTTCAAAGGAAGTCTCCCTTAAGGAGCAATTACTGGAGAAAATGGAAAAGGACCTTGAGATGTTCAAGAGGAAATTCTCGGTTATTCTTCACCAAAAGGTTGGTAAACTCCTCTCCCCTCCCCCCTTCTCCCCGTCTTTAATGCAATTAAAGGGGAGACGGTAGAGGGAAAACTGGGCCTGGTTGACTGACATCTCGTACAAAACCATTCTGGTCAGAATAGTGCGCGTCTGATAATCCTAGAAGAAGGGACGGGGCGTTTTGTTCTTCAATAAAAGGAACAACAATAAAGCAAAATCCTAACCAAAAGTTTGATACGTGATAGACTACGAACAGTCCTTCCTTTCCGGCGAAATTTGTCGCGTGAGTTAAAAAAAACCAATCGGTGAAAAAAAATCGATCTTAGCGCGCCGTGCGGAACTGTGGGTGCACGAAAACCCACTCTCAGAGTTTCGCTCAAATCAAGTTGGCAAATCAAAATTTTTTTGCGTAAAATCTGAGCTTTTTTCTTATTTCAACTTTTTACAGGGGCTTCTTTATGTTGATTTTATGAAAGAAAAAGAGACATGGGAAAAGGAGAAGAAAGCGATCGAAGAAGATAAGGCCTCAACTGAACTTGCCAGAGAACATGATAAAATCAGGCTCATGGAATTCGAGGTACTAATTTTGCTAAATTCTGCTCTTTTCTCTTACGTTATAGAAAAAGTATATTTATATCTAGCAAATGCTTCATGTATCTCACATGGATCTACCTCAAACTCGACTTGTCACTGATCTCTGAGCAGTTGTCATCTTCATTGGAGGAGGGAGCTCATGATGCGTCGAATATTTTTGCCTGCGCGCGATTGGTCTAAACGTATCACGTGACCGAATATACCCCAGTTAAAACGGTGGAATCGAGCATATACCTGAAGCGATAGTTTCCACTTTTCAATTCTAACGTCCAATACGGATAACATTACCTTTAAGATGACAAAGCATTGTGTTATTGCAGAAGAAGGAACGTGTTTTCTTTTTTTTTTTTTTTTAATTTTTTAATTTTTTTTAATTGAACCAGACGACACTGAAAAGTGAACACAGTAAGTTATTGGTACACATTTTCCCCGCGCGTTGAAAAATATATGATTAATGACAAACACAATAGCACGACGAATATATGAAATATATATATCTGAACTGCGGTTATAGAAACGTATTTGTACACGATCCTCGCAGTAAAGAGCACTATTTAAGCTATAGTGAAAATCAGACATGAAAAAATTCAGGCCTGTACGGGATTCGAACCACTGACCTCTGCGATACTAGTACCAATTGGGCTAACAAGCCAACTGGGACCAGGGCCGGGTTGTTCAAAGGCGGATTAAGATAACCCAGGATTACCGTAAAATTTAATTGCAGATCTGAAAGCTTTAAAATTAAATTCACTTTAATTCCATTTGTTTACAATTTGGTGATTGAATGCTCTAAGAATAACTGGGAAAATTATCTTAAAACGGCTTTTGAACAGAGAAATATAGAAATCTGGATTAACCTTTAACCCTGGGTTAGCGCTAATCGGTCTTCGAACAACTGGGCCCAGGTCATCAAATTAATTCGACATAAACCGGTAAGATTCCATTCAGCGCGAGATTATGCTCGTATATTTGTCCTGGGACATAACCGTTTCCTCGAAGCCCACTGGTTTCCTCGAGCTTCGCTCTTGGAGAACTCTTCGCATCTCGGTAGAGATAATGTCCTAATGTCAAAATTGAGGTTACATGTTTAACTGATGAGTAGCGCGACTGGAACCAGGCCCCCATCTACTGGGAATAGGAGTGTGGTAAATCACCAGGAAACCGGGTTAGATTAGGTGATGTGGGTGCTGTGTGGAGTTCCTTGATTCCTTTTTATGATATTCTTGGTTGATGACACACTTTTTTTCGCAGTTTTTTTTGTTTTCGCTACTTACATTTTAATGAGTGTCATTTTGGACTTTCCCGTCCGCAGAGATTACTCGATACCCTGGAAAAAGACGAGGACAAGCAGAAAAAGAGGCTTGGAGAAATGACGAGAAAGGTTACAGTTTTGAGAGTGAACGAGAAGTCGCTCAGTAGAAGATACACGGCCATGCAAGACGTGGAAGCTGCTCTCAGGAAAGAAAACAAGAGATACAAAAATGATGTCGTTGCTATGGAGACCGCAGTTACTGAGAAACTAGGCTACCTTCAGAGACACAAAGTATGATATGCTTTGTTTCTTTTTGTCTTTAACCTTCGTCCTCCTCAAGTTTTCGTTTGTGCTAATAGAAGAGGTTTGAATAAGGTTTAGCCAGTTTGACATGTAATTTTTTGCATGAAGTTTGATGCAAGGCATTTTTTGTGTTGTTAAAATGTAGTCCTACTTCTTTGCTAAAAAATTTAATTTCATTGTTTCTTATGAACATTTTGGGGATGTGTTATTTGTCGCAAAAACCGTCTGAAACTTGATTATATTGACTCAGTATTTTTAATCCCTTTAATACTTTGTTGAACTCACTTATATTTAAGGAAATGTCCACCTACAAGATTGGAGTATTACAGCAAGCGTTAGATGAGAGTGTTCTTGCAACTGAACTGGAAGCAGCGAACAAACAGTATAACGAACTCACTGCCAAGTATCGCGACGTTATACAAAGGGAAAACAGCCTCGTGGCACGATCAGCCATAGTCGACAATCTAGAGGTAGGAAGGGCTTCTAGCAATTCATGAAGCGTTTACCTTTCTTTTCCTGTCTCTCCAGTTACTTTCAATCTTGTGATAGTTTTGATCGATCATAGTAATGTAATAATTGTCTCCTAGTGGATATTACTAATGTTGTGTTATCCGTTTTTCCTCTCGATGTCATTGGCCACTTCACGTTAAACTCTGATTTAAAGTCATAGCCCTTTTTTTTTTAATTTAAATCTGAAAAAAAAAAAAAAACTGATTCATATACCTCTTGCTTGCGAAAGTTCACATCTCACCGAGAACAGAAATCCCATATTGTGGAGGACACTTTATGGATTGCTCTTGGTTCCCAGACCCATTGCTTTTTTATGTGGAAAGTCTTTGGAATACTTTGTACATATCGTAGAAAGTTGCGGATGATTTTTTCCTTTAGGCCGACTTGAAGGCTTTGGAAGAAAGAGAAGCTGAACTGAAGAAGGAGATGATCTCACTGAAGGAACGAAACCACAGTTTAGAGCAGATGGTGAATGAACTTTTATCGAAAGGTGACAGAGATTTAGTGCTGTTGATTTGTAGCTCCTCTCTTAACGGGGGTTAAGGGGTCATAAAAAGTGAAAGTGAAAGTGAAAGTGAAACAAATGAAAGAAAACAAGAACTTCAAACCACTAATACTTTCGGAAAATCAAGAGTTTCATTGGCCTTCCGCCAGTCAAGACGCCATTAGATGTTTCTCTCTGGCGCCTATGGTGGGTAAAACAAATTTCATTTTAGAAAAAAGAAATTTTTTCCTTTCAGGTGGTGGAGAGGGTGAAGGAGACACCAGCATTGTGCGTCAGGAAGAAATTGATAGAATATCAAGAAAACTTGCAACGCTAGAAATGAAGGTATGCCATGGAATGTATGGTCTGTGTTTAGCAACCCACACTGTATAAATCTATCCTTTTGTGAAGTAAATGATAACTGATTGAGCAACTTATCACCGAGAAATGTCTAATTCATGGTGATGTTGATGTTGATGTATGATTCAACTGAACCTTAACTTCACTAGGAGCTGAATGAGAGAGAACGCGCTGACCATGCTACGAGGAAGTATGAACAAGTTCAGTCACTCATCAAGCAACTGGAGGAAAGAAATGTAGAGTTGGAGCAAAAGTTTGCAGAGGTTTAGTGTGTCCTGAGTTGTCTCATTCCTAGATACTTCACATCACCTTCTTGGAAATTAATGTCTGATGACAAAGTGGTCCCTTTTTTTTTTTTACAGATCAGCAAGTTGAATCTTGAATCTCAGAGAGTTGAGCGGCAGCTTAGGGACGAAATCTCCAGTAAGTATTCTCCTAATGTCTTTCATTAAGGTTACCTTCAGACAAGTAGGCGTCTCTCTGATTGTAGAAGACTCGCATCATGTGACTTCGTTGCTCAGTTAGTAGTTGCGCCCGACTGATATCTTGAAGGTTCAAAGTCGACCCGTTTTGAAGTCTGATGGAAAAGATCTCACTTATAAACCCACCGCAATTCCTAATACAGACAGAAGTACATCTGTGGAACTTGTGACGCTATTACCCATCATTTCCGATCATTCAAAGTCATCACCCGTCATTAGGCACCATTCCCCGTTATCAGACTCTTCCCCAGTCTCTAGATAGCATTCTTAAGTTAAGTTTGTATTTTTCTCCAAGACTCTGTCACACAAGATACTCACGTGGCTGTCACGCGACGAGTCCGGTCTCTGGAGGAGTCCGAGTCTAAGCTAAAGGTGGAAGTGTCACGATTGAAAGAGGTGGCGGAAGTGGCTTCGCATCAGACGGAAGCCATCAAAGCGCAGCAGGAGTCACATGACAGAGAGCTGACATCTCTTAGGAAGCAACTTTACGACATGCAGATGGAGACTGATGACAAGACCATTATAGGTATAAATCTTTGATATAAATTTAATACTCTTTTGGGAGTTACTGAAAAAGGACCTAGTGACATAGAGAAGAAGAAGGAGAAGAAGAAGAAGAAAAAGAAGAAGAAAGAAAGTTTAATTCCATCATCATCGCAGCTAATCTGAATTATGATGTGGTTACAATCGTACGACCATAAAAAATTATAAAAGCTGATGAAAGAGGGACTGGGTTACAATGGGTTTTATAATAAAATTACAAATACGTTTATGCTTATACAAGTTGAATGGGCGTATATATAGTCTAAAAGTCTAATAATTATTAAAAGCTAGGCTAGTACTTGGGAAAAAAACAACGACGCAGTCTTTCTGTCCTGTATTTAGGCAATATATATTTGCTAGCGCGTCTAGTTTGATAGTGATACATGTGCTGAGTTGTCATTAGGAGATGTTTAACAAGAGGACCTCCTCTTGAGATCTTTTCAAGAGTTTTAAGACAAAGTTCACTACGTCTTTCATCTAATGTTCTTAAGTTTAAAAACTGAAGAGCTTTTAAGTAAGAAAACGCTGGGACTATAATTTTAAGAGTACGTTTCTGTGTACGTTCTAATTCCCGTGAGAGGAAGGAGGGAAGGGCATGGTGCCATACTACACAGCAATATTCTAGTAAAGATCTTATCAAGACAGTATAGATAATAATCAGATCATTAATCTCAACGCCCCCTCGGCGGAGTACTCGGAGTATGTGAAGGCGTTCAGAGGCGTTGGTGACTATGATTGTTCCATTTTAAATTATTCTGAATCACCAAACCAAGTACTTTATATGAAGTTACAAGCTCTAATTGTTGATCGTCGATGTTCAAAAGAGGGAATTCTGTAGGGTCCTTTAAGAAACAAATCTGCATTTCTTTGCACTTTTTAGCATAACACTTTTTAGAGGGTAACACGCGATATTTCTTCTTTATGTACTTAAAAGTAGTCAGCGGTACGTTTCATGGAGAATTGTTAATCCCAAACTAATTGATTTAAGCGACCGGTTAGCAGATAGGAATGTAATACAAGGAGCCAGTTAGAACTCAAAATAAAAACACGTATCCGAAAAAAAAGAAAAGAAGAAGAGAAAAAGGCGTCACCAAGGGCGGGGCGTGTTTTTTATCCTTACCACAGATGAAGCGCAGCGGAATCACTTAAAACTGGACAACTTAAGACATTTTATTGAAAACTCTGCCAACTAGCAACTTTTGTTTAAAAAAAAACAAGCACTTCTAACTTTACGTGGTATTTTGGATTTCCAGGTAAACTGCACCACCATATTGTGGCCCTTCAGGTAAGTGAGGGTACAGCGGTGAGGAAACTGGAAGCTGCTATGCAGAAGCTGTCTAGACAGGAAGCTCACGTGTTACGGCTTGAGCGGCAGATTGATGAAAAAGGCCAGGCTCTGTATCACGCTAAGATGGAGGCCAGGAACAAGGCAAAGTTTCTTAAGAGAACCATTCAAGATCTGCGGAGGCAGTACAGCGGAGCTTTGCCATTGATGAAACAGGTAATAAAGCGCATTAACGAAAACATAACAACATGGGACCTGTCTCGAAACGGATAAAGATCTGTTTACCCTCACCCGTTTTTCTTCGAAACCATTTGCCCTGTCTAGGCTTATTATTTTTGATTAATGTAAAAGAAAGGATCTCGTCAGTTTTGGAAAATGATATTGAAAATATTGAAAATGGGGGCTGGTGCTCTTCCCTTAAACTTTGATTAATGATCTAATTATTGAAAGAGGTTGTCGTCTCTTGTTAGTCTAAATGCACAATATGAGTTGCTCAACCTCCATTCCAATTTGCTTTCCGTTCAGGAAAAGTTTGCCGAGACTATGCGTTCGTTACACGAGGACAAACACAAGCTTGAAGGAGAGCTTAAGAAAGCTAGAACCGACAGAGAAGCAGCAGAAGACAAGCTTGCTGAACTTCAGCTTCAACACGATGGGTTACAGGAACTGATGGCTACCTTAAAGGATGGTAAAGGGGCTGCTAAAGTCACTGAATGGCACGCAAAGATGGGTGAAATAAGACTGCAGGACCTTAAACTGAACCGTGCCATTACTAGGTTGCAGGAAGAGGTAATACAAATGCAAGATTTGTGTGCACTTTACGTTTGATGATATATGTTTGCATAGACCTACAGTGGAGAACAGTGAATCACTATTGAGAGTCAGCGAAGGATTTCATTACAATGGTAGGTTTTATAACTAGCAAACGTTGCTCGTTTTGGAAGTGGACTTTCAAACAAAACGGAGACCTCAGAATGCATTTCGTTGGAAACTGTTAAGTTTTTGGGTTGGCTACTTACATACAGCCGCAACAATTGTAGAGAACTGAGTTGCCCCTCGAATTAATCTACCCCAGCTAATCTTTAGATTACAATCATGTGTTTTTTGTTTCTTTTGCTTTTACTGCAGTTGAAACACCTAGAAAATATGACGAAAGTTCAGGAACGCACCATCTCGGATTTGGAAGATGAAAATGTGCAACTCTCCAAAGAACACGAAGAGAGGCAGTTGCTATGGGAACAGAGGGAGGTGGAGCTTGAGCGCACGATTGACAAGGTAGAAAAACAACAGGAACAACTGGCGGACGCGGCTGCTAAGTTTGAGGAAGCTACTGGCTCGATACCAGACCCTGATCTTCCAGTGGCAAATCAGCTGGAAATGGCGATTAGAAACATAAAAGAACATATCAGGATTATTGTAGGAACGAGAGAGGAAAGCAAAGCTCTTAAAAAGGTAAGTACTTTAAAAAAGGGAAGAGGAAACCTGATGGAAGAGGAAACCTGATGGAAGAGGAAACCTGATGGAAGAGGAAACCTGATGGAAGAGGAAACCTGATGGAAGAGGAAACCTGATGGAAGAGTAAACCTGATGTGAAAATAAGGGATTGTGGAAAGTGGAATAAGCATTTAGCATTAGTCCTCAAAACTGTGGAAAGCGTCAAGTAGATTACGCGAATGTGGTGTTCTTGTGATTTGCGGATTATTTTATAGTCATATATTTATATTTAATGTAAAGATTATAATGTTATATCGCAGAAATACGAAGAGCTGGATCAAGCTTTCAAGCAGTCAGAAGAAAGGCTCACCCAGAAAGACAAGGTCAATTAATTCAGGAAGGAATAAAATAACCTTATGAACTTTGACTTGTCAACTGACAATTTACGATTGATTTCTCATTTAAGTATCAACCCAAAGATTACTATTCGATTTTGTGTGCACCAATTCATTCAGAGGAAGAAAAACCGGTCAATTCCGTTTGAAGAGAACAATTTATTATACTTGATGATCAACGTGGTACAAAGCTTTTTTTTCTTTTTTCTTTCTTTCTTTCTTTCTTTCTTTCTTTCTTTCTTTCTTTCCTTTTTTTAATTTTTTTGGCTCCAAGAGGACAATGAATTGGGTACAATCACTGTAACTAATTACACTCACTTTTGGATACTCTCTGTCAAATCATCTTCATTTTATGGTGTCAGGTTTTTTTTTTTTTTCTGTGACTGCTTAAATTGCGGCTCTCCTGCGCGGATAATTGCTTTACTTGCTTTTCGTGCGCAGACCAAATGGAATTTATCTCGTTAAAAAATATGATTAGATTCCTCGTCGGGAAATGAGAGCCCTTTAATATGTACCTTGTTCTGAACAGTGGCTCGTAGCTCAGTTCGTAGTAGCGCCCTGGGGGGTCACGGGTTCAAATTTCGTCGAAGCATGTTTTTTTTTTTTTTTTCTGGCTTCCTTTTTTCAATTGCTTAAATTGTAGCTTACCTTCAAAGATCATATCTTTACTTAATTTTCATTTTCTTGTAGCTGATCAACGAGCTGCGCCTCCGCCTCCCTCTGTCGGAGCGCGGGGAGATCACAGCAGAAGCCAAGAAAGCTGCTGGGTTAGTAGAGGAGGATTATGAATCAAAACGAGCCCTTAAAGTGGCTCAGGCAACTGTGTCCAGTCTGCAGGTATGCTTTATTTATTGAGAGTGACTTTTGATGGCGTCTCAGTAAAATCAAAGTAAAGGTAGTCACAACGTCCAATCAGAGCAAAGGGAATTATGTTAAGGAGCCTATTAGAACTTAGAGCTTTCGAACTGACGTATTATTTTTAGCGCTGCAAAACACGAGTGACTAAGTCGTGGTTGATTTGGGTTTTTTTTCAAACCAGATTGAATAAGACAATGGTGCATGTTTGCTGACATAGGGTAAACCAAATCTGCTGCTCAGTGGTGCATGGTGCTGGTCTAAATATTGATTTATTTATTACTTTGCCACACTGTAATAAGAATTATCGAGGAAGCATGATAAGCTTAGTTAAATGCAACAATGAGTGTGGCGAGGAAACCTAAATGGAACCACGAGGCTTACACAATAATTCGGTTTAAATAGGATGTCGTCTCAAATGTTAATTATCATTGGTGGTTCATGCCCACTTGTTTCGAACTCTTAATAAATGCTCAAGGTGAAGCAAATCGCAGCAATTGACAAAAGAGATGTTCAACTACAGGGATCAATTGAATTATTAGAGTTTCATTTCACAGCAGTTTACTTCATCTTCATACATGACTGTTCTTTCTTCTTCTTTTTTTTTTTTTTTTTTTTTTTACAGCAAATGCTGGCTCGTAAAGAAGAATCGTTGGCTAAATACCAGGAAATGTTGAAAGAAGCACGAGAGGTGAGATGACGATGAATTACAAATGTGAGGCGATTGTTCATGGCGAATAGTTATGATACATTTTTGGTTTGAGAAATGATTTTTTTTTTGTTGATCGGTCAATGATATGGCCATAGTTAGAGAGAGAAAGTCTGAGTGAATCCAGCACGGTTGTTATCCATGGTCCTCGGAGCACTTGTGCGCTTGCTCTGTCACTGAGGCTGTAGGGCCTCATCTCAGGTAGCAGGCGCTCGACGAGAACGCGAATAGCACGCGCATGACATCCGCGTTTGTACAGGAACCTTGTGGTGGATAGGCTTCAAACTTGACTTACGCATCATCTCACATTCACGCGATCAAACAAGAAGTAATTTCGTTTCATTTAGGATTTTTTGCCTGTTTGTTCAACATGCAGGAAGCCAAGACCCAAACTGAACAACACAAAGCAGAAATTCAGCTCCTACAAGACAGATTACACCTGGAGACGGACGAGACGTTTAGAAGGAAGAAGACTTTTCACATGGTCAGTTTTCGAGAGAGTTATTTCTGACATTGAAAATGTATCTAATTAGCAAACGCGGGGTTTAGTATCAAAGATATTGCATATAAGTATAGTGGTATTACAGAAGAGCAAAGGTGAAGAATTTTCCTTTATGAAGTCTGATCGTCCGGTAGAGGGTAGTCCTGTAGACTTGTTCTGGTCGATAGAGACTGACATCTCGACGTCCTGAGCGGCAGTCATCACTAAAATCAAGCAAGGAGTTGTTAGCCGGTCTTTTGAATGTTATGAGACGGATACGTGAAAACTGACTGATCAGTTTAATAGTTTGGATATATCAACAAAGTTGAAATGGTAAATTAGCCACCGTAATAATTACAAAAGCTGACGTTTCGAGCGTTAGCCCTTCGCTCCGACGAAGGGCTAACGCTCGAAACGTCAGCTTTTGTAATCGTTACGGTGGCCAATTTACCATTTCAACTCTGTTGATATATCCAAAATACTTCAAAACATTTCACTGCGTTAGAGTTAAAACCAAACCAATCTCTGGAATATGACTGACACGTTCAAAACCGTACAGAGCTCATACAACGCCCAGAAATATTCGGCATATCGCACAATTCCCTGTGATACAGAGGATGAACTTAAAGAACGTGGCAGCATTTTCCATGAAGCAATACATACATAAGTTAGTTGACCACTCCCCATGGGGGCTTTTCAGGGCCAGTTCCCACCCATCCCATCCCAGGGGAGGACATCCACTACACAGCAATCTCTGCGTGGGAAATTAACGTCTCCTACCCCTAACCCCGCAGGAGACGGGGCCTACGGTTTATTCGTCCTTATCCGAAAAGACTAGAATATCTATCCATTTTTTGGTTATAGAAAGGTAGCAAATTCTCCTCACTTATTTTAAGACCATGAGTATCAGTCCGGCCGGGGCTCGAACCCTCGACCTCCCGCACAACACAATCCGGCGCTCTAACCAATTGAGCTAACCAGGAGGCGGTTAGTAACCTTAATCAGGTAATCTTCCCGATGGTGAAGTTTTACACGGGTACCCAGAAACGCTAACATGAACAGCTTTTGTAAGACAGGAATGAACGCAACCCTGGAAAAAACGACCTTTTCAGGAATGAGTAAAAGTGAATCGTTCTTAGATGTGCATCTCTGTAATGGATAAATTATATGGTCTGTATGGACTGCACCTATTGAATCTAATAGAAAAACTGGGCAGGGGTAAATCTCTGTCTTACCTCAAAGTTTGAACACGAGACACTCGGACATGGATAGTGCTGCCAATCCATTAGCTCTGCAATCGAGAGATGTTTCTGAAAAAGNCGTTAGCCCTTCGCTCCGACGAAGGGCTAACGCTCGAAACGTCAGCTTTTGTAATCATTACGGTGGCTAATTTACCATTTCAACTTTGTTGATATATCCAAATTATTTCGTGACTCCCACCGACGCAGCCCCAAACAGTTTCTTTCGAAACTATCAGCCTTTGATCAGTTTAATAGTTTTCATGGAGGTATTGGTCAGTCTCGATCCGTCGGCAAAGTCAGGTAGTTTAGTTTGTTCACTTGGTAGTGCTGATACCATGAATAATTCCTTGTAGGAGTACTGATTATTGTTTACATCTGTTTGGAGGAGTCCAGTCAAGGCTTCTCCTTCAATCAATTACTCCTAACAGTGCTTACATCAAACAGAGGTGACAAATTCGCCTTTGCTGTACATATACTTCCTCATTTCTTCTTCTTTCTCCCAGGATTCAGTGAATGATGATGGTCCTCCTGTTCCTTCGCACAAACAGGTTTGATTGGTTACTGTTTGTTAATGATATTTATCTTCAAAAAGAAAACGTTTAGTGCTTCTGGGCGTATGAATTAACATCGCAATGATTAAAAGAACTAACGCAGTAGGCTGAGAATCCTTTGTTTTTGCTCTCGACAACAAAAATGCAACGGTATTTCACCAGCATAGAATATCTGAGTCGATACATTACACATTTATGTCTTTTATCTCTTTTTTGTTATCAGCTGGCTCGTTTGTCTGAGCTAGAAGAAATGGTGACAGAACAGGACAATGCCTTAGCTGTGGCAGCAGAGAAGTACAAGAAATCGCGAAACGAAATCAGCAAAATGAAAAAAGACCACGAGGAGCAAGTAAACAGTCTCAAACAGCAAATGGCAAGGTAAAACACGAACATACTTTTCAATGCGAAGCTTCCCACAAGTATATCTTCCCGACTGCACGCGTGTCTAGTTTTATGGTCATTTATTTCGTTTATTTTTGGAGTTACTCTCGCTCATTAACGGCTTTACATGCAGTTTACTCGTTTATACTTGCCCCCCCCCCCCCTGAAGCCTACTTAGATGGCCTTCATGCGCCTTTTCGTAAAATCTTGACCCGTGCAATCAACAGGACAATAATTGTAGTTTTTACTGAATGTGTATAAATTCATCGCGTATTTGTATCATTTTTGCTAGGAAAAACGAGGAGCATTCTAAGGAAGTTACGAAACTAAACAGTGAGAAACTGGAACGAGATGACAGAATAATGGAACAGGGTAAAGAGGTTAGTGAAGTCACTTTTCACCTTCCTGTTGCCCCCATTCTACCCGTTAGATACGAATCATTTACTTAGCATTATTTCCTATGTTTGACATCTTTGCTTTATCTGCCGATTCTATAATTTTACACATAGATTGAGGTACTTAAGGATGAACTTGAGTCAGCGAAGGAAGCTGCCCAGCGGGCTCCCAGTAAAACCATGAAACATTTGGTGGAGAGACTTAAGAACCAGCTGGCATTGAAGGAAAAACAACAAAAGGTATTTCTTTTTCCCTCGTTATGCCCAATTCCAGGTCCTCTCTTTTCCATCATTGCCATACGTGTGTTCCTCCTATTCTGTTCCAAATTTTCGGTGTTGTTGATCTTTTTGGTACAAGAAACAAACCTGGTTCTAGTATGCAAAGCTTCTACAGAGATACCACTGATGTACATGTGCATGTACTTATACACATTTTATCACCGTTGCTGCGGTCAGTGAAGTAACCGCATCATTGTTGCAGAATCACCTGACTTCCTCTGCTTTCCAGTTATTGTACTTGATAATGTTTTTTTGTTTTTTTTTTTACGGTCGAGCGAGATGACAATTTGATGTTTTGTTCTCGCCATAAATTATAGTTGCAACTACTCTGTTTACTTTTCCTTTCGTTTTAGCTGTGTAACGTCTCTTCTCTCCGAAGCATAATCAACACATTTGATATTTTTCACATTTCCGTGCATTCATGTTTGATGTATTATTCTCTTTTCTTAGTCCCTGAGTCAAGCTCTCCTGCAACTAAGAGCTGACATGGTGACGACTGCAGAGGAAAATGTTCAGGTAAAGCAATTCTAAACACAATTGCCTTCTGTCCAGTTCAACGTAGCCTGTTATAGGAAAAAGGAGGAAGACGATACTTGACGGAAATGTCAGCAATTGACTCTCCCTCCACTTTTTGCTCGCCTGCATTTTCACTTGTCTCCGCTGACCGTGCGGCTGGCGCAGGCTGACTTCAACGAGGCAGAAAACAAATTGTTCAGCAATTTTAATGTTATCCAGTCCTTGTACCTTTTTTAAGTAACTGCTGCCTTTTTCACTTTTATGGCAATGTCTTATTTGATTTCTTTGTGTTATTTTGATATGGTTTTTGATTAATAGGAGTGCAAAAGAAGGGTATAGTCAAATTATTTCTGTTCCAAGTTGGTGCCACCCATGTCGAAATACAAATACATGTCAGAAAAAGGTTTCGCTTAAGACTAGATCGACACGTCTGTCAGTTGAAGTCATTGAACAGACCACAGACAATTCCACTTCTTCTTTATTAGACGAATGTTTTATAACCGTTTTATCTACAGGTTCACGCCAAAAAAGCCGAGCAACAGGTCAATGTACAGCATATTGTGGAGAAAGAAACCGCTGGACTACAGGTTTATGAAGTACCATATTTACATGTATAAAATGTAACACTAAACTGGTGATTCGTCAGTATTGCATCGCACTTCCTGTACTGCGCATAAAAATCGCGCAATGAGGCGAATGAGCGCGCAAGCATTCCGAGAACACGGTATTGCTTTTCAATTTATGGACTGGGTGAAGAGGTACGTTAGTCTTTAGCTCTTGAACGAGCACGGTGACCTATTCTTTTTATTGTAGTTTTTCGAGACAGACATTGCGAGGAAAACTAATTGTTATATAATTTTCTTTTTGTGAGGAATCACTGTAAGTGTAAAATCTTACCACATGCGAAAAGCACATTACTCAAGGTTATTCCCTTAGTTACACCTCTGACATTTTGATACCGCCTCAAAACTATTAACAGAAAGATGTACCGACAGATATTCCATTATAGACTGAATGCGAACCTCATGAGAGTATGTCCCTCTACCTTTAAAAAGTACTTTAATTTCCAATTTGATGTGAAACGAACTTTTTGTTAATTTTAAGGCACGTCTCGAAGAACTCCAAGATCGAATGGAAAAACTCAAGAAGGAGCTAAGGAAACAAAAGGATAAGGAATCGACTTTGTTAGAGGAAAGGGACAAATTAAAGCAGGTATAAATAGAATAGCCCATTTCCGAATTACCCTTGGCCTCTTTTCAAAACGAGGCCTGGTGCTCAACCATTCTTGTGAAAATGAGTTTAGTTTGCATGTGAATGAAAACTTATAATCATATGAAAGGATGAGCACCAGGACTCGTTTTGAAAATGAGGCCAAGGGTAATTCGGAAATGGGCTATTTCAAGAGCTGGTTTTTGTTGTGTGCAAATTTTAATTTGCCCTGCTTTTTAGACTTTTCTCTGCCGAGCTCAAATAATTGCGGCTAGGTAAGTTTACTGAGTAAATGGAGTCCTCAAATAGAGCGCTGTTTGCTGGTGTGTTTCATAATCTGGATGGGATACCTATTACTGCCGCTAACAGTTAGAAAACAAGAACGGAAGAGGGCATCTTTGGAAAGGCAATCCAATTTTGGTGGCTTGAGTATCCTATGTTAAAGGACATTCTGTATTTCTACTTTGTTTGCTTTCATTTAGGATTTTGCTAAAAAGGACTCTGCGCTGCTAAAACTTGGCCGTGAACTGAAGGAGCTAGAGACTGTGCAAGAACAGCTGGAGAAAAAAGAGGAAGAATTAAGAACTGAGAGGAACACGGTTAGTGGTGATGCCTTCCTAGAAGATACTTTGTGGTCAATTAGCGCACCTTGTAATCACTTTTATTTCCTTGTCAGCAGGAATATTACATTTAGAGGTTTTCATGGGGAATCGTAGACGTTAACAGCTTTTGTATTATTTCAAAGGTGCTCTTTTTTTTTTTTTTTTCCATAGCTTGCCCAAGAACGTGCTGAATCTGAAAAACTACGAGAGAGAGTGAAAAGCCTTCAAGGAAAAATAAAACAGATCAAACAGAAGAGTTCCGAGGACTCTGAAGGGGGAGCTGGTGACGATAAACCGATTGTTGAGGAAGTGATTAAGGAAGATAGAGTATGAACACGCTGAAACACTTTTTGTTTGGAGACTCGGCTAAGTTATTCTCCAAATTAAACCTCCTCCCGGAAATAGTAGAGTATGGGCTACTTCTTTACCCTGAGATACTCTAGATGAGAATTCTGTGTTACAGGTCTGTGATCAATTTACCCTAATTTATTGCAGATGGTTTGCTCAGTCTCATACGTTAACTGCCTACTGTTAGTTAGTAGAAATCCTTGGCCTGATGTACAATGTTTAGTGTTTGATGCATGAGCAGACGGCTTGTTACCAGGAATAGGACAACGAGTCAGAACGACTTTCGTTAATTGTATTGCGGAATTTGTTTCAGGTGGCGGTGGTTTCTGAAGGAGTTGCACGATGGGAGGACAACAAGAAGTGGCAACAGAAAGTAGAGACGCTGAAGGGAAAACTGGCGGAGAAAACACGAGAGCTGGAAAAAGCCGAAAAGACCATCGGTATGTTACGAGATGCAGTTAGCAGGGCTGAGAAGGACAAGGCAGGACTTCACAGTAGATTGAAGAGGTATGTCAAAGTCCGTTGAGATTTCTTCTCTTACAAAACTGATCTCGTACGCGCTCATTACTTACATTCATTGCAGCTCTGCCAAGTCGTCAACTGGCGGACAAGCTCTTGTCACAAACGAAGTTGTACAGGATCTAAGGCAGAATATTTTCAAGCTGGAAGAAGAGGTATCATACTTTTTTTACTGTTGACGGTCAAATACGCAGTTAAATGCTCCCAGATGAATTACTGTGATATTTTCTTAAGAGTATACGCCATAAAAGAGCATAAGTCGTCCTAAAGTAGGATTTCATCTCTGATGTAAAATGACCAGGAATCACGTCACTTAGGGTGAAATTCTTGTCCGCCCTTAGTTATCCGTTTGTACACATCTGTGTGAATTCAGCTAAGTTGTGGGAGACACAGGACTAAAGCAAGGCATTTGTGAAATTTTAACTCTATTCACTCATTCACTAATGCTCTCACTCACACATGCACTTACTCATTCATTTTCTCTCATTCATTTAGTCATTCAGTCCCGTTCATTTATTAAAGTTGTTGTCTACTTACTTATTTCACAGAATCAGGAATTAAGACGTCATAAAGTTCTGGGCCATGACAAACAAATGGAAGCGCTTGAGCTTCGAAACAAACAATTAGTGGAGTATAGTGAAGGTTTAGAACGAGACCTTGCTGGTAGAATGGCTGAGCAGGTACACTCAAGATAAGTTGTATCATTTTGTATATACATAATATACATAGTTTATACATAATTTTGTATATTCTAACCCAACGATGGTAATTCCATTTTTCCATTTTAAATATCTTTACAATTAGGTAAACTGTAGGACTGAGCTGAAGGCGAGTGTTGTAAGGCCCACACAAAATAAATGCATTCAAGAATTGTAATGTTTTCGCCGGAAATGAATGCATTTTGCCCTCTTCCCTCTTCTAGCCATTGGTGAGCTCTAGACTCGCACTTGAAAGCAAAGACGAGTGACTTCTCTATTCAAACGTGATTCTTCGTTCGTGCGGCCGCACGAAATCCATCGCGCCTACTTAACATAGTGCTCGTTAGACTTCACTTTCTCTAATCTCTTGACAGCCCATTTACTTGGTGCCTTTATTTTCCCAATGACAGCGTACAGTGGATCATGCTGATGCCGACATGTATCGTGAAATGTATCAGAGAATTCAGTCTCTTCAAAAACAGCTCTTGGAAACGAAGGAGGTTTGTTGACGATTACGATATCACATGTAACAGTTTTAATAAGGCTTTGGAAGAAATGTAAAAATTGCTTTGGAGGTGTCAAAATCCAGGAGTACGGTTTAAAATACCATTATTTGTCAATATAATTTCGAAAGATCCTACTGAAGAATGAATGAATGGGAAACGGTGGTACGTTTGGTCGAAGTTGAAAAATTTACAAACGACCTGTGATAATACACAAGTTGGCAATTGCGGAAGGCTGTCAAGGTTCTGTTGCACTCTGGAGAACTTCATGAGTCCGGAGGAACTAGTAAAACAGGGTGGAATAAGATCGCGCTGTTTCCTTAGAATAAGAACCCACACAGACGTTTGTAGTCTTGAAATATTTCAGTTTTCCTCTCGTAGTACCTTTCCGGGTTCTTCGGTAGTTTTCATGATGCATTTCATTTTGATGTTACATTCATTATGTATCTGGTCAGAACTCATCAACACAGTAACATTCTTTTGTAGGAAAATATGGAATTACGTTTCGACTATGAGCAAGCTCGGAAGGAGAACCCACGACTAAAGGTAATGAAATAGTAGTTTATGCTAAGAGAGCTGGAAATAACAGTTGGTCATTGGAAATTGTCCGACCGTATTTTAAATATGTCCGGCCAATTCCACACCATAATCGGGCACAGTTTCTAAACATTTCATCCGCACACTTTGACGTCTTCCCTCTTAAGTTCTTGTGTATCCATCAGAGTTCTTCAGATACATTGTTTGACCTACATTTTAAGAATACTCAATGCAAGTGTCCTTCATTCTTTTCCAATTTTAGACACAACTTTCGGGTTTTAGACACTAACGTCCGATTTAAGACGCTAGTGTCCGGTCGTAGACATTAGTGTCCGACTTTAAAAACTAGAGTCCAATTTTAGACACTAGTTTCTGAGGTTGGACAATAGTCCGACTTAAATAAGGATTTGGTAGGACACATCCTGTTACTGAAGAAAAGTTATTTCCATGACTGGCTCAACTGAAAGTGCGCGACAAACCTCTTCACTCAAGTGATATTATATTAAATTTTTCTTCCCGCTGGTAAATAGTCTATTTCATAAGTGGGGAATTTGAAAACGGGGAATGACCTTCTAGACATATTTTTCCTCTTCTACAGTCAGATGACTGCTACACGCTGAAGTTTTCTGGCGTTAAAGAGGATAGTTGTACTGTTATCAAAGTTTAGTGATTACCGTCTGCTTGTATCTCATTTATTGATAGGATGAAAGAGAAAATGGGAACATATTTTATGTACATTGGAAGGCCACTGTTTTTATATTTGTATGGGGTGTTTGTAAGGAACTAATATTTCAAGTGCTGCTGGCTCTAGACATTCAAGTCTTATTAATATATAATATTTTTTTTAATCCAGGCTCGTGTAGAAGATTTGCAAGAGTATGTGGAAATTTTGAAAGCAGAACTTGAAGCAAGTAAAAAAAGGGAGAAGGCTCGCAAGGTACAAAGTGTATTCTGACAAATCACTACTGAGAATTCTTCAAATAGCCACAATTGGAGATTACAGCTCGCTACTCTGGCATTGTTAACCCTTCAACTCCCGATCAAGACAGAATTTCTCCCTACAATATCAATACAATACTAAGCAGACAGGTGATAAGAATAAAGAAGAATATCAATCATGGTATTATTGGTTGACCCAATACCAAACTCTCTCAGCAAACATCATAAGAATTGTATAGCAAGGCAGTCAGGAGAATTGCCTACGCGATCTCGGGAGTGAAAGGGTTGAGGAAACCTAACTTTCAAAAACATCGCAACTTTGATGTACTTACCACTATTTTTTTTTTTTGACAGAAGAGTCTGGGTACTGGTATGGGTGGTCAGAGCGTAGAGGATCTGGAGAGAGTAATAGCAGCCATGAGACGAGTTGTAGAGAGGCTTCAGGGAGAGAATGATCAGTTGAAGAAGACTGTTGGTGCAGGAGGCCCACAGTATGGCGAGGTCATGAAGGAAAATAAACGGCTCAAGGTACTTCACCTGTTGATAGTTGCAAGGTGTTTACAACAATAACAGGAAAGTAGTGAATGTTGCAAGGAAACTTATATTGTTCCCTTTTTTTGGTCTGTTATTATTGTTATTGTTGGTTTTTTTATTTGTTTTGTGGTGCTCTGTAAGATTCAAAGGAGCCATGTATAGAAAGTCTGGCGCAGGCTTAAAGGATTGAGTTCGTTTATTTGATGATCGAAAATAGAGTTGAATAGGGATAACTCAGCAAGCGAAGGTAGAGGAGGAAGGCAAATAGACTTTGCCTTTAGTATTTCTCTCTCTTTTTCATTCCTCGCCTTCAACTTCACGCGTGGGGCGTATACGGTCAAGTACATCAAAAGTATGGATATGTTTTACAACCTCTTACTTTTCGACTTTTCTCGCTCTACAAGGTAACTTAAATTCATTGTTCTGTCTGCTCTACCAGCATGAGTTGGAAAAGGCAAAAGTTAACGAGAAGACACAGTCCTCCCGTGGAGGCAGCAGTCAGGGAAATACAGCTAAACTGATGGCTGAGAACGATAAACTACTGAAAGATTTAAAAAAGGTAAATTGAAACTTTGTTATTGATGTTGCTGAGCAGGTCTTGCGAACGTCTTGTCCTTTGTTCTTGATTTGTTGTCTTTTTTTCTCAAAGGAAATGGAGGAGGTAGAAAAGCTAAAAACTACAAACGCTAATCTGGAACAGAGAAAAGAGGAGCTTGTGAAAGAATTAGAACAGGTAACCAAACCTTGTGCTTGATTCATTGTGTGTGCGAGAAATGTCAGGACACAAGTTTATATACTTAGAAGTGCCTTGTAGCCGCAATCGGGACAGTATTGATAAAAACTAGTTTTATTTTCTATCCAAACACGTATATACGTTCTACATCATTAGTTACATCAAAGACTGTCCACCACTAACATGCAAGGACTTGACAGTAAAGAATGGAAATCAGTCGTGTTACCAAAGATATACGAGGAAAAGATGCAAAAACTAGAAGCAGAACTGGAGAAAAAGGTAAGGGTTTTTAGTCCCAAATTTGTCTATTCTCATTCCTTTTTTCCTGAATAATGGAGTGACATTGTAAGGAGAAGTTCCATGTTGATAACTTCCGGGAGTTACTGCACTGTGAGAGTAGAGCTTGGTAACAAGTCGTCCGCAGGCCACTTGAGCCGGATAAAAAAGTCATTGCTTGACAGCGGCAATGACTTCGGTGGGTGAGGAGAAAGGCGAGGAAAGAGACAGTTTGACGGCAAGGTTATAAAGGACACTTAATCGTGTTTATTTTCCTCAGACAAATCTGTTAAAGGATATCAAGACGTACTTGAAAGCAGCTGCTAACAGAGAAACTGAGTTAATGAAGAAACAGCAAGAACTTGAGGAAAAGGTTTGTTCTTTATTTTATCTCAATATCGCTTACAACACTCAGCCAACAAAACTGCCAGAAGCAAATGTTATGAAAGTAGACAGTATTCATGACCTGATCCTATCTTAAAGTACCAGAGCGTTTTTTATAGCCGCTACATCGCTTAAAAAGCGCAATGTAAATGTTTCAAAAAGGACTGGGAGCTAGTTGCACTATTGCTCTTTGTGTCTGTTTCTCTATTTAAATCCCAGTGTTCTTCAAGTTAAGTAATAGACGTGATAATGTATACTGTCATTTAAACAACTCATCCTGACCATGTACTTTACCTGCATTTAGTTTTCAGTGTAATGATGCGGTGATCGATTCGAAATCATATATCCCCCTTCCCTATGCAACTCACGGGCATTTGACTGTCGTCCGTACCCAGGGGTGGGGATTTCAACCTTGCCTGGGTGGGGTGGGGCAATTAATAGAAAATGTCCAGTCTTTCCATTCTGATACACGTGTTTTAATGGAGGATTCCAAAAGTAAAGAGTCTTTTTTCGAGAGTGAATGGCTTAGAAAGAAAATTTTCATTTCGTAGAATAATGATTACAAGCAAAAACCCAACAGCAGCACCATAGTTGGTGAGGAATTTGAACGCAATCTTGGTCGGGGAGGGGGGGAGAATTTGAACGTGCCAATCTTCAAAAGTTCAAATGCCCAGGGTTTTCCCCAGGAGGATGTTGAAGCTTCGAATTGATCGACGCATAAGGTGATTAAATCCATTTTTGTAGGTTACAGTTTTGGAGAGGTTTCCCACGAATATTAAAGGAGACAGTGATCTGATCAAAGAACTTCAACAGACAAGGTAACGTTACGTTTTACCTTTTGGGAAACTTTAAAAAAATAATAGGGACCTTAAGAAACCACGACGGCGACGCCAAGGAAGACTTCGATTAAAAAATGAATTTCTACTCTTAGTTAGAATTTCAAAAATGGCTGCAGGAGCTTACTGTCTCATACAGCGCCACAGCTCAACTTCAGCATGACGTATAAAGTAGCCGTTGAGTTCCAAATGGAAATTAAAATAATTTGCCGTCGCGGTTTCGGTTCGCAGACGACGCAAATTTTGGCGATTTCACGTTGTTGTTTTGCATAGGACGGCTAAGAAATGTACAAAGTTTCAAAACGCACGTGCTGAGCTATTGTTCTGCCAATTAGATCTCTTGTTTTTCCACGTCCTCGTTGCCGTCGCCGTCGTGGTTTCTTAAGGTCCCTA